TCTGCATTGAATGAAACTAATGTAAATGATATATTTGTTCATATCATAGAAACACATAATACTCATATAAATATGGTTCAAAAACAATAACAATAACCAGTGTTGTATTTACGAATTACCAATTTTCATATTACTATATGTTAAGTTGTCACAACCTAATACAAAGAATGTTTATAAATATTAAAGAGTGGTGCTAATGCACACCATTAAATATCTCATTCTCATATTATGAAAAGAAGAAAAACAAATTTTTGAGTTGATTACCAACAAAAATAAGTAGTTATCTGAGAATAGTTTAAACATCAACTTTGACACGACAGACTTGTTTTCTTGTGGACAGAGAAAAAGTTAAATGAGTAGTGCAGTCGTTTTACAAACAAACCAAATAACTTTATGATTTTTAACAAGTTTTTTAATAATAATCACTACCTAAGTTTCACTCATTAATACTATCTCTAACACTGCAACTATCAAGAATAAACATTCCTGAAATAAGCAAAATACTAAAATTCCTAAGAGTTTGGAAGAATTTTTAGATTCAATTAAAAACTATATAATTTAATAATTACTATCTTTTTGAATAAAGATTGTAAAAAAAAACTATAACTCATTAGACAATTAGAACCAACACATAATGAAAAATACTTTTATTAATATTTCAAAGGATAACACAAATTAGTCATTAATAGAAAAAATTGATAATAAGAGGATGTCTTACTACTTTATTTTTCTTAACAAGAAACTAAAATACTATAACTCTTATTTATTTTCATAAGGAATAAAGTTTTATATATACTGAAAATAGGTTCTTTATATATATCTTTAAAACTAATTTAAAAGATTTCTTACTTTTTAAAATTTTTGAATATTTTAAATTGAAAATATTACATAACCCAATTAACTCAAACATTATTCGTTTAAATTTCATATGAACTTGAATTTATTAGTTATAATCAAAAAATAAAAAGGATAATAGTTAATTCTATAATGAGCTTATGAAAATTTCTACCAAATAAAAAGTAATAACAAACACTCCTATTGCCTTTTCCTTAAAAAAAATATTCTTCCATTATTTTTTTCTAAATAAGAGACAAAATAAAAGAGGTTTGTTGGTATAAAACTAATTAAAGACATGACCCCATTTAATTTATCCTAACTCTTTTTCAAGAAGAAAATTGTTTGAGAATAAGACATATAACGAAAAGATAAGATCCTCTGGTGGTGGTAATTTAATTTATTATTATGTGTTCAAAAAGAAAAGTAAAAAACTTCCACAAAGATATTTACATTGTAACCAACATCCCTCTTATTAAATCTCACTATAAGGAAAAAAAAAGAAGAAGAGATAATTGGTTTTATGGCATCACCAAAAATACTCAATGACAATGAACAATTTTGAACGGAACAAGTCACTAAATAACCTATATTAATTAATTCTTTTTTCATACGTTCAGGACAAATACTCTTTGATAATTTAATAGAAACAAATTACATGATGATTAATTAACTTGTAATTAATAAGGAGAAAAACATAAAACTTCAAACAGAAATTCCAAATAGAAAAAATTTAATAATATGATTTAACTCAGAAAAAGTATTATAAAAGTATATTGAATATGAAACTATCATGATTTATTAAAAAAGAAATAGAATAAACGAAAAAAGAAAGAAAAGAAAATAAAGAACGTTTAGAAGAAGATGTCTAAATGAAAATAACATTATAACATTAAGACAAGAATTAAGAGGGGGTTATGGCTATATAAAAACTGTAGATAAACGGAATAAAGATACTTTAAGATAGTCAATATTTTCTAAGATTAATTAGATCAAATAAATGAATTTATAAATTAATATTCTATTTAATAATAGTATTTAATTTATTTTATTATAATATCCATCTTCTTATTTTTTTATAATTCAATAAAAGATACTTGTTTCATTCATAATCCAAAAACTATAACAATATTCTATTATTAATAATTTATTGTATTACTTTTAGTTTACCTCATTTTTATATCTTTCAATTTTCTATTTGTTTGAGAACTTTTTCATGAAAAGAAAACTAAAACAACATTACGAATAATACATGAGCTGAAAAACAAAGAAAGAGGTCTCTAGAAGGTGATGAAAATGAAGCAATTTAAAACTATTATTTATGTTTTTGATGAACAAACTAAGTGATGGCAAATATAGTACTTAATTTTGAATCTTCAACAACCTAAAACTCCATTCCACAAATAGTTTGTGAGGCGTTTCAAAATAGGAAATTAATTCAAGTGAAAGAATTTAAGAATATAATAACTTTTCTCTTATTTTTTGAAGATACTTCCAAAAGAAACGAATAAACTATTTCTCATACTACGAAATAAAAACTTAAAAAAAAGAATTATTAATTAGAATGAGCTGCATCATTAGTAGAGCACTGTCTAGATCAAAAAAAGCATTATCCACAGCACTTCTTGTATCATTGATTGTTAATGAAGGTGGGAGGATGACTTTTTCAAAGTCAAAGCAAAGTAATTATGCACTGAAAGTACTTGTTGGGAAAAAGCTTGTTATGAAAGAAACAAAATATGACTCAGCATCGTTTTCTAAATTTTCACAGCTCCTTTGTTTAAACCTTCATGCACTTGTTAATGATGCTAAACTGAGGAAAGAAAGGGTTGTTACTATAACAAAGTCAATGCTAAAAAATGAAATATATGATGAGTCGTACCTTCCTTATGATAGGTTTCCGTCTAAGTCTTCTCAAATAAACGAATGTAGAAATAGAGAAGCTTCCTTTTCCAATGCACTTGCTTGGATTTTATTAAGTAAAGGATATTCATTACAACTAGGAATAAATGCTTTAAAAGAATCATTAAAAGTAATACACTTCTATGTATGGGATTCCGCAATTACTCCAAATGGTAGAAAAATTGTAATTAAAGAAGAAGAATTTTTTCTCAAACAATTAATTAATCATGTCCAAAAGAAACAAGGAAGTACTAACTACTCTTCAGT